TTGTAAATTGTGTTATAAATTGACCTGTGTGAGCTTGCAATTAATTTAGTTACTCACGGCATAGAGAAAAGGGCGCTAAATATTTTTTTGTTTAAGTAATTGACAGTTATCTTCTGTGTTGTGAAGTTATAATTCATTTATTTAAAGTACATCAATTATTAAAGTGAATATTAGCTATGAAATTCTCATCTGGTTTCAAGTATTTTCAATCTGTTAGGGACATGAGAAAGTGCAAGGGGTTTTTGTAGAATGTTAGGGACAGACATATATGTTATTATTTTTTAATGCAGTTTTTATAAAATAATATTTTTAGTATTGAGAACGATATATCAGAAGCTGGAGGAATTTCGTAAGAAGACAACAGATACAGTAGAAATTAAAGTTGAAAAATTCAATACAGCCGTTGATGGCCTCCCAAACATCGAAGGATCCTTTAAGCAGACTCTGTTTTAACCAAAGAGTCCTAAATAGAACAAGCCAGAATTGTAGATAAAGAATCAATACAGATGCAGCTGAAGAAACAGAAGCAATTCATAGAGCCTTCCTATGCGATAATGCCCTGGCAGTAGATTGAGGACAATCAGTTGAAGGTGGTAAGCCAGACAATTGAAACTTCAAAACAAGTGAATTTCTGAGCAAAATCCTTGAAGCACTTGCTGTTGTTCTTCTCTGATGTTTATGATCGCCACTTTTATTATGTCCATGATGGGACATGTGGTGATTGTTTTTAGTTTCTGTTTACAGAAGCTGAAGCGACAACTGCTCTCCTTAGACGTGGGGAACCTAGCGAACAATCCCAAGTAACAATTTTGCAGAAAATCATTGGAAATTCCCAGGAATCTTTCACAGGAAAATCCAGTGAAAATGTTGACAGCTATTTCAAGAAATTTCTCATAACCCTTTCCGAGGAACAAGGTCCTATCCAAGGAATTTCTTGTAACCAATTCCAGGGAATTTCTTGTTACCAATTCTGTTGAAAAACCGGAGAAAATGTTGACAAAATTTGTGAAACTTCTTGAGAATTTACAGCACAAAGTTCTTCAGAACCAATTCCTGGTTAATTTTCTGGCCCAAGAGTAGTGAATAACTTAACAACTATATTGCCCCTCAAACTTTTTAGACATATAACCATCTTCAGAATGTTAGTCGTTTTTAATTTTACTAAAGTTGTCATGTATTTTGTTTATTCAGACAATGAATTGTCAAGAAAAAAAAAATAAATTAAAAAAAATATATATTTTTTTACAAAGATGGTTTGAAAGTAAATTATCATTTTTTATCATTAAGGATGCGAAAAAAAAAATTTAGTTAGGGCAATGCATAACAAAAGAGAACCTCATAGACACCTATTGGAGAAAAACAGAACTTGAAAATTCTGTGATGAAGTCCTGAGTATTTCTCAGGATTTTCCAGAGAAATATTCCTGAGACATTCTTAGGAATTTCTTGATAAAAATTCCAGAGAAATTCCCAGGAATTTCTAGAAACTTATTCTCTTATTTAATTCCCCTAAAAATCCGTAAACTTGGTGACCAAGTCCAAAGAATTTCTCAGGAATTTACGGAGAAGCATTCAGGAGAATTTCTCAGTAATGTCTTGGGGTGAAATTCCAGGAAAATTCCCAGGAATTCCCAGGAATTTTTTGAAACTAATTCTTTTATTAAATTCCCCTTAAAATCTGTAAACATGGTGACCAAGTCCTAAGAGTTTCTCAGGAATTTCCAGAGAAGTAATCAGGAGAAATTCTCAGGATTTCTTGGGGTGAAATTCCAGAGAAATTTCCAGGAATTTCTCCAAACTAACTCTCTTAATAAATTCCCCTAAAAATCTGTAAACATGGTGACCAAGTCCTAAGAATTTCTCAGGAATTTCTCAAAACTGAGTCTCAAAACTGTGATCCCACAAAACTCTCTGATCTTGGGGACTAATTCTGGGGATTTTTTTGAGAATTTCCAAGAAATCAGTTACAGGAAATGATTCTCAAGAAATTCTTCAAAGAAAGTCATGGCGGTTGAAGAATATGGGAAAATTTCTCACTTTTGTTACTTGGGATCCCAGCTAGCCAAATTGCGCAATTTAAGCGTCACTTTTCGCGTTTTTACGTAAATTTTGCGTAGAGGTTTTGGTTCTTTTTACGTCATGAAAGATGTAAAATCGCACACTTAGCTACGCAAATTTATTGGTTTTAGTAGTAGACATAAAATTTACATAGTAATATTATACAAATGTACGCCAAAAATGTGCATTTTTAATTTCTCAATTACCAAAAATTATGCAATATTTGATGCATGCTGATAGGCCATCCATCCCTGAGTAGGTATGGTACTCTGTCTGAACTGTTTCCATTCAACCGAGAATACAGTTCAACATAGAGATTATGCGTCAAGCTTTATACTTACATGAGAGTTATAAAAGTTATATAAAACTTTTTGATAAAAAATTCAGTGCATTTTCCTAATAAAAATGTTTTATTAAATAAAATTTTAAATAATTTAAAACCCAAATCTTGACTTCTAAATGATATACTTTTAGTAAAAAACAAACAGAGACACCTAGCAGTAAAATTTGGTACTAAAAACCAGTGTGTTATATAGCACTGTAAATTCTCTGCCCAATTACCCCCCCCCACGTTCCCACTCTTATCTCCAAATCACATCAGCTTTCTATATAATATACCATTGCTGCACTCTGCACAATGTACACACACCTGGGCCACTCAATTCTTCAATATTTAAAAGACTCAAAACATACGCGTAAAAAGAGCGCATTTTTTACGCAATTTTAATGCTTTCATAAGACAACTTAAATTCTTTTTAAAAGTTTATTTTTTCAATTTTTTTGGAAAATGCAATATGTGCCATATCGGAAATTTTAGATATTTCACGAATAATTTAGATTTAGAGTTTTAGGGAATTACGCAAATTGAGCGTATCTTTAAGCAAATTGAGCGTATCTTTACGCAATTTGTATACCTGAAATAAAATGATACACATCTCCACAAATTCATGATATTTTTACTTAAAGCTGGGTTATAAAATATTTTCTTTAGAAAAATTAGATATTTACACTAATTTGAAATCTAGTCTTGCGCAAATTTGCGTTTTAATTGCGTAATTGGAGCCAAAATAATATGCCTTTACGTTGCTTATGCAATTTGGATAGCTGGGATCAGTCTTACAGCTACTCTGAATTGTTGAGAATGATAACTGTAATATGCCATTCCCCAAACCACATGGAAGACTGTATGTATAAAATGCCCTACTTTTTACAATAGCTTTATGTCAGATAAATATCAGGTAGTTTAAGTAGTAATAATTTGAATTTTAACAAAAAGGATATGCAGTTTGAAATTTAAAAAAAGCCTTGAAAAAATGTTGACATATGGATTTTAAAAAATTTGGAGGTAGGGAGAGTAGGGGAGAATTGAAGAAATAAATGATTGAATAAATGTTGATAAAAAGATTTCAACAAGACTTAGGTAGTGAGGGTAGTGGGGAATTGAAAAACAATCTTGAATAAATGTTAATAAAAAGATTTTAAGAAGTCAGTGGTAGCAGGGGTAGTTTGAAATTGAAAAAAAAATAATGAATAAATGTTGATAAAAAAATTTCAGCAAGTCAGTGGTAGTGAGGATAGTAGGGAAAATGAAAAAAAATAATTGAATAAATGCTGATAATAAGATTTCAAGAAGTCAGTGGACGTGAGGGTAGTTTGAAATTGAAAAAAAATCTTGGATAAATGCTGATTAGAAATTTCAACAAGTTGATGATAGTGAGGGTAGTTTGAAATTAAAGTCCCACTAACCTCACTACCACAGACTTGTAGAAATCTTAATATCAACACTTAATCAAGAATTTATTTCAATTCCCCACTACCCTCACTAAATCTGACTTTTTAAAATCTATATATCAACTTCTATTTAATAATTTTTTTTTTATTTCAAACTACCCTCACTACCACTGCCTTGTTGAAACTTTTTTATCAACATTTATTCAAGAATTTTTTTTCAATTCCCCACTACCCTCACTACCACCGACTTGTTGAAACTTTTTTATCAACATTTATTCAAGAATTTTTTTTCAATTCCCCACTACCCTCACTACCACCGACTTGTTGAAACTTTTTATCAAAATCTATTGAAGATTTTTATTTTAATTAATTCCACACTTTCCTAACTTTCCTCAAGAGGTGAGGGTAGTAGGGAAATTGAAAAAAAAATAATTGAATACATGTTGATAAAAAGATTTCAAGAAGTTGGTGATAGCAGGGGTAGTTTGAAATCATGTCTTTGCGTTAGTTGAATTATTGAATTTTCATTTCTTGAATAAATTCCATCTTTGCACAAATTGTGTCTTTGCGTTATTGGAATTTTTGTACAATTGTAATTTTTCCATAAATTACATCTTTGCACACTTGGTGTCTTTGTATAAGTTGAATTATTGCACAATTTTCATTTTTTGGCATAAATTCAGTCTTTGCACAACTTGTAGTGTCTTTGCATTATTAAAAACTATTGTATTAATTTTATCTTTATACAATTGACTGTTTATTTGCACAATCTTTGATTGATTTAGCACAGTTTCCTTCTTTGCAAAACTGTTGTCTTTGCAAATATGTTGTATTTTTACAATTGCTAGAAAAGTCCAAATTTGAAAAAAAAAACATATTCACAAATACTACTACTTACACCTAATAGCTTTATGTACTGTGTACAGGAATTGAGTCCTTGTCACAATCTAAGATTTTCTAATCTGTACAACCTGTGTAGTGGAAACCTTTGATTTTTAAAGTTATAGATTATCTTAAATGAAAGTTAGAAATGTCAACGCTTAGGTTATTGTGATGCAACTTGCAATTATGTAAGGGTTAGAAATCAGAGTTTGTTAAAGACTTAATCCCTTTTGGTTCAAGAAAAGTTGAATTCTAATTTAAGAACATTGTTTGTTAATGATTGATTTATTTAATATCATTGCATACAAAGTTGTTTATTTCAAAACTATAATTTACATCATTTTTATTTTTATTTCTGTTATTCTGTTATTGTTAACAATCTTTTCTTTTATCTAGAAATAATGTTGGCATCAAGACATGCACAAAACGTTTCAGAAAATTACAGCTACAATAATTATGGAACAATTTTTTTTACCATCCAAGATGCATCTAGAGTCTAAATAATTTTAGATTTATCACACCTCACATTTGTAAGAACAATCATTTTTTCAATAAAAATTGATTAATTTTATTTGTGAATTTTCTTTAAAAACGAAGACTAGAGAAGAGACAGCGCATAAAATTGACGGTATTAAACTCTTTTCAAAACAATTTCAGGGATACTAGTACAAAGGTTGGACGGTACAAAAGTCAAACCAGGACAAACGTCGGACTAGTACAAACATCGTACTGGGACAAACGTTGGACAGTACAAACCTCGGACTGGTACAAACTTCAGACTAGTAGAAAACGTCGGACCAGTATACAAATGTCGGACTAAGGGGGAAATATTTGGATCTTAAGATTTTTTTAAAACGTTATTTCCCTTTATTATTGACTGGTCTAAAACATCTACCCAAAGGAACTGAGTTGTTGCCATCCACTGAAATATTCTCATTCCTATATCTTTGCAACCTGGAAATGGTATGAGCCTTTAATACTTTCAAACTTAAACTGTTTGATCTGATAGATTTCATAGGTTGAAATGTTATATGACATCGGGTTGCAAAGATATAGGCAATAGGCATATTGTAACCTCAGAGTTTGGGAAAATTGAACTCAAATCCTTTTTGGTTTGTTGTTTTATACAACACTGCCTTCAAAGGATAAGACTTTATTGAGTTGTGTTTGATTTTCATCACAAAAAGTGAGTGATTTTTAATTTTTTTTATAGCAATGGTCTTTTTTCAACTCAACCAAAGTTGGATGTTTTTCCTAATAAATGTACCCATCTGACATTTGTACTTGGCGATGTTTGTACTAATCCGAGTTTTGTACTAGTCCTGCATTTGTACCAGTCCGAGGTTTGTAAGTCCAACGTTTGTACTGTCTGACCTTTGTTGCGTCCGATGTTTGTGGATCCGAGGTTTGCATTGGTATCATTTCAGGGGCTATTCACGTAATTTCAAGTGACCCAACATGCAAAGATGACAATGTTCAATTTTCAACTCTTTTGCTCTTGATTTACGAAGTTTAAAGTGTTTAATTCTGATAATTCCATTAAAATTAAAAATCTCAAAATTATAAATTGTGATGTCTATTTCATACTTACCAAAAATTAAAAAAGTACCATTCTTAATTGAGCATTTTTATCTTTGCATGGAGGGTCACTTAAAATTATGGATACAGTCCCTTTAAATAAAAACAAAAAAAATACCTGGTAAACAACATTTTTGGATGTCTTTTTGACTAGAGAGAATATCATGTTAATGTTGGAATCATTATATTTTTTCTAAAATAATAAAAACAAATTGAAGAAAACTAAATAACTGTTAATGTTATATGTGATACAAAGTGGAATATTCCTCTATTAAGGTGTTTCGACGCAATAGGTCGTTTTCTGCAGATTCTGGATGATTTTAGAGATTCTGTCGGCAGTGCCGAAAACTTCAGCTAGTTCTCTTTCTTAGGATGACTCGGCTTTATGGGACTGTAAGCGTAATTTCAAGAGACCCAAAATAACAATAACAATATAGAGGATTTCTTTTGGAAAAAGTGTTGAAATCATAAAATTTCTAATTTTTCTCTGTTTATAAACTTCGTAACTCAAAGGTAATTTTTGTGGAGAATTCACAATAAGAAATAATCAATTTAAAGCTAGAATAAGGCGTTCATTCATCCTTTAAGAGAAAACTTTTTTAAAGGATACCACTTTGATTTGGATATTCTAATCATTCTATAAATGTAGGGTTAGTCCCTTTAAAAACTTACAAAACAACCAGTCAAGAACGGTGGTCCAGTTTTTGAGGTCCCTTTAGGATTCTGAAAGATTCAAAACTATTGTTTTGGCGTTTAAATTCATCAAATAACAGAACAGTAACCATGCTTTCTTTGAATCATCAAGAAGAATTTTATTATTAATTGATTAAAGCTAAAACAAACCTTTTTTATATTCAGTTTTAAGGCATCTAAAACATATTTCAAAAACTTAGATCCCTAAAAATTTCAATGATTTTATACAGTTATTTTTAAGGTATAATTTTAATTACAACTTACTTTTGGGCATGCCTTTATTTAAACTTATGTTTGAGGCTTACTTTCTTCAAGGAAGCATCTTTGTGAATTGAAAACCAAAATCTAACTTACTTTTTGAAACCCTATATGTTTACCCTATACAGGCTGGGGGTATGAATCAGCATTGAAACACATTAAAATTTTTAGTAACTATACATCAATATAAAAACGATACAAGGAGTGGGCAATTTTTTGACATTTTTCAAAATGAGAAATGGCTCCCTGAAATGGGTTGTAATATAAAAAATTATATAGAAAACTACTAATACAAATGAAATTAAATTCTAACAAATATTCAATACATTAGTAATATTAAAACAGGGTTCTTTTCCCCAATTTTAATCAAATTACAGAAGATATTGCAAATTGACCAATTTAAATAATAAAAACACATCTTTTCGTACAAAAAAATTTTAAAAGAGAACTTTACCCATGGATCGGCCAATTTTTTAATATTTTTTAAATCTTTGATTTTACTGAACTCCGGTTTTCATGCTTAATTTATTGACATTTATGCTATTAATTTTTAATTACATTTTAATCTTTAATCTGAGGAAACCACTTTTTGGAATAAATGCCTTAAAAATCCAAGCAGAATACAATTTTGCTTCTGTAAAATGACTTACGAAAAATTTCACAAAATTCCATTCTGTTCAATGACAGTGTTTGATAAAACATTTTTTTCTTTTGAAAATGATATCCTTGATCGACCTAATTTACTTTTTATTCTTTTATATAAATATTTGTCATGCCTGAAAAACTTGAACGAAATATTTAAAGATTTTTTGAGCGCTTAAGTTACTTACTCTCATTCCCCCTTGAACCCCCTGCTCGCTCAAAAGTTTAGCTACATACTCTCCCCTCCCCTTCTTAACAGTCTTATTTGATGTATGACCCACTTTTACAAAGAGCTGGATCCGCCCCTGATTAGAAGTTAATTTGGAAAATTGCTCGTTTGGAAATTTCTTATTTGAGAAGTTGCCGATTTGGAAAATGCCCTTTGAAGTTTTCGAAAGAGAACTCTGTGGAAAATACCTATAACATGCATTATATTCAGATTAGACATACTTTAGGAAAACCTAGTACCCCGTTGGAGAGATGACTCCGAGGAATTGGGGAAAATATCTATAATATGCATTATATTCAGATTAGACATACTTTAGGAAAACCTAGTACCCCATTGGAGAGATGACTCCGAGGAATTGGGGAAAATACCTATAACATGCATTATATTTAGATTAGACATACTTTAGGAAAACCTAGTACCCCGTTGGAGAGATGACTCCGAGGAATTGGGGAAAAAGCTACAAAGCTTGCCGTCAGTAAATCATTTAAAGGCTCAACACTGAAAAATTAATATTTTTATTTTATAAATCACTTTAATTAGCTTTAATGGTCAAATTAAATCATGAACTGTATTATTTTTAGACTTTTCCTATTCATCATTAGTTTTATTGAAAATCAACATTGTTTTTGAAAATTGATCAATTTGTTTATTTTTTGTTTGAAAAAAAAACTACTATTAATAAAAAGTAAGTAAAAGTGAATAGATATATGAAAAAAAATATAAATTATGAAATGCATTAAATAGTTACAAAACTTGTATTTGAGCCCTCTGTGCAAATGCAAGATTTACAATGTTACCCTTGAAACTTCAAGCTGATAAAAAATGTAAAAGATATTGTCTGCCTAAAAAGGTGCTTATTTCTGTAAATTTTAGTTTTTTATCTCTTTTAAGCAAGAAATGTGCAAGTCACTTTCGCAGAGAACCAGCAATTACAAATAAACAGTTTAAAGGAACAAAAACATTGAAATCTAATTCATATTTGATCAGCTACACCTTTAAAGGGTACCTTTGTAAATCAGAGATTGTCATCTTTGCATGGAGTGTCACTTGAAATAATGCTAACAGTCTCTGAGTTGTATATTATTACTTAATTACCATATTGTATCCGTATCAAAGTAAACACCCCCGCTTTTATAGATGATCTAAATAACACAAATAAAACTTTAGTAATTAACCATTTATAATCAAATTTTGTTTGTTGTAAAAATCTAAATGTTGCAGATTTTTTTTTGTTAGCATTAATGAATTTCTGAAATTTTTTAAATCAACATCTTTTCATATGTAAAATGTTTCTCTTTTAATAAATTAACCATCCCTGGGGTCGTGTGAGTTGCTACAAAAAATATGAGCCAGGTCGGTTCAGCAGTTTTGACGTTGAAATAAACAAAAAAATTAGATCTCTCTTATTTTTGTGTCCAATAAACGTCAAGATAGCTTTAAAAGTATTTAAAAAATAGTGGTACAAAAAGAACCTCTAAAATCCTAAATCAAATATAATTTTTCCAAAATAAACAAAATACCTCATATCGTAAAATGTCTGATTTGTAACCTTTGTTTGTCTCATTTAACAACCATTCATAAGTCTGAAATTCTGATATTTCCCTAAAAATAGAATATTTGTAAATATCATAAGGATGCTTGAATTACCATTAAATATGGACCTCTTTAATAAAAATAAACATTGAAACAATTTTCTTAAGAATTACTTTCCTCTTCATGAGTTTGTTCTTTTTGGAATATTTGTAGCTTTTTCAGAGAAAGTGGTGATAATTTTTGTTATCAGAGCTGAAAACTTTAGAATTGTTGGATATCAAGATCAACTCTTTATATTATCTTTTAGTTAATCTTAAGATTGATTTAATCTTAATGTAATATCCAGGAAAGTATCTAAAATGGAACCAATCCAAATGTCAATTGTAGAAACAGATGAGGTTTTGCACACATCCAATAGTAGAGCTTTCATTTGTCGGAACTCTGAATCCAACTAGGGATATCAAAAAAAAGGTTTCATAAGGAAATTAACAGTGTCCTCAGTGGATACAGAGATTTAGCAATCGGGATTTAGTATGTTCAATACAAAAGTTTTCAGCTCAGGTAACAAATTGTCTTTCAATTTTCTCCAAATGGAACTGAGTTTTTCTTATACCTATTTCTTTTAACCCTGATGGTGTAAACCTTTGATGTTTAAAACTTAGTCTTTATGGCCTAACCAAATTCATAGTTTGAAATTTAAAAGATCTACAACATTGGGTTGCACAGTAATATAGATTATCATTTTTAATTTGTGGAATAAAAATTCATTCCCTTTCAAACAATTTTGGGAAAAAACCACCCAAATTTAAAGAAGCCATCTTACTTATTGAGATCAATTAAGTGAACATTAGACAAGTTAGATTTTAATTCTTCAGTAATAATCTCTGTCCAGAGCTGAACCTGAAAACCAGATTATTTATTTTCACAAAAACAATTATAATTTTCTTTTATGTTTTTTACAGAATTTTTATAGAGAGGCAACAATTTTTAAATTTACGGTACAAGTTAAGCTGACACTACCAAAAACTTCTACATGTTAATTTGCCAGGAAATCTCAACAACTTCACTAGGAGTAAGAAGGCCAAATTTATGCCACATTACTGGAACGTCTTTGTGACCTTGTAGTGCACAAGTATGAGAAAAACAAATTTGTCCAGGTACATTCAAAAATAAAAATATTAATAACATTTTTGTTCTTCTTGAGCTCTTCATAGAAAGAGAAATAGTTGAAAACATAAAAGATTTTATTCTGACGTAAAGTTTACTTTAGTTTAGTGTGATTTATAGCAGCATATACCTGATAATCTGGGTTCAAGTTTGCACATCTTAGAATATTTTCCTGGTACTTTGTTGAAACCATTTCTCCAAACCAAATAAAATTCATAATCCTATAGCAATAATGCATACAGGGAGGAGAGGATTTCCAACCACAACAATTTTTTGTCCAAGCCACATTCTCCTCTATTTTTCTCTGAGCCACCTCAAAATCTTTGTCCTTCCAATATTATTTTTTGGGTGTCTCATCCTCCCAAATAAAACTATTTTTTAAGAATTGGGCCACCTTAGGGGAAAATTGAAATGTTGAATTTTGTAAATCGAAAAAAATGTTAATGCAGCAAAAAGTTTATAGAGCTTCTCTCTTTTTTCGTTAATTATAGTGAACACCATTCTGGGTGGTTCCATGGGGAAAATAATAGGCAGAGGTAAGCCAAATATTTTGCTATTTATTTTATATCATGACTGTTAGCCATTACAGAGGCAAAAGAGATTTAAGTTTTACCTTAATAAAGTTTGACATCATTCTTATGGGTACATAATGTAATCATTGCAATACTTTAGTCTATCCATATGTTATGCCCTAAGGTTGCCGGATTTGTAAAAAATAGTTTTATCTTCAAGAATTGGAAACTTTAAAGCTTACAATTATCGAAGGATGAGGATTGCAAGGTTGCTTGGACAAGAAAATGAGGAGAATGTGGCTTGGATGAGAATTTGTTGTGACTTGCCTTCCTTTCATCATACAGGGAAGGCAAGCTGGAAAGAGAGTGACTGGTTAAGTGGAACTACAATCTCCGTTACATAGCCACTAACTACCATTTAAAACATACAATTTCAAGCAAAATTTCACAAGATCTTTTGAACCTTTGATATTACAAGTTCTGGTTTTTTGACCTAACATAATTTTTAATTTGAAATATCAAACATAGAAAATTAGCTTGCAAAGATAGCAAATTCAAATGGATTTGGAGAGCCAAGAATTCAACTCCTTTGTAATTTAAAAATGTACAAAACTGGTTGGCAGACAAATGCATGAATTAGAATAAAAGACAACATCAGAGTTAAAATTGGAGTATCTTTTGTGGGGGTGGGAGCGTGTGATAATTCTATTCAAATAACTTTGAAGTAATTAGGCAGATTGTGTTTTTTTAGACCCTAGTTCCCAGTTCTGTTTTCCAGATTTTCATTGCTTGCCGGGTAGACCTGTAGCTTTAAATTGAAAGCTTGTTTGCAACTCTTAGTCATTCTTATTAGGTGCCTTGACACCTATATTCTTCATCTAAAGGATTGTGACTAGATAACATAGACAAGCCTAATTTTAGTTCATATTCACAACAAATGGAGGTCACGAGCTCATATCCTGACGGCGGGGGGATCAAGATATGTTGTCCTTATGATGTGTGTCTGCCAGCTACCTAGCTGTGACATTTACATTAGTGTGGGATGCAGCTGACACAGCAGGCAATGGGATAAACCAAAGGTTGTGCAACTAGGGGGCCCAGGAAACATTTTTTTGTAACTAATAAGTCAGATGAGGGGGGGCCATGCGGCAATCAACCCCGCAATATCCTGCTCCAACCCAGGTAGTTAGCAGAACCCTGTTTCATCTAGAGATAGTCAATTTCGAGAATTTTACTTGGCGCATTGGAGGTACACAAAGTGCCAAGAAATAAATGGCATTGACAGTACAATGAGCATAATAATGAGTATCATGGAAAGTATGTTGAGTATACTTGCATTACACTGCTGGTTAGACTGTAGATGCACCTGGCTACAAAAAACCTATGGTGAAAATTATTCAATAATCCATCAATCTATTATCTGACTACCTATCTATCCATCAATTTAAATCTATCTATCTATCTTCTCGGCTATCTATCTATCTATCTATTGAAGTAATGTCTGTCTGTATAACTGTGCGCAAGCAGTTTGTGCAGTTATACAGACCAACAGAGGAAGGCCTGGAACTGGTTTCTTCATTCACTACCTGGCATTACACACAAATTTAAAGACACATTTCTTATAAATAATTTGTATAGCATGAAGTTTATAAATAAATGGGAGAGTTACAAATAAAAAATTTAATCAACAAAATGAATGATTTCATATTAAAGTCTAAATTAAAAGGGTCCAAGCAATTTTAGAAAAAAACATTAATATCAAAATTATATACTCCATACACACTTTTGATGAATCAGGGTGAGTTTTATTGATAAATAAGTTGGAATTTAAATTTATATTGAAGTTATAAATTATTATTTCTTTATCACTGTAGTCAACTCATTGAAAGTAATTATTGAATTTAAAGCATTGATTTTAATCTTAAAGCTAAGAGAATTTTGTTACCTATTCCTGCATGTTCAAATTTTTGAAATTTTTCCTGTTAAAGCCAATTATTATTAATAGATCATTTTTTAAACAGTCTTTGGAGGGTTCAAACAGGGTTTCGAGGGGTTCAAAGAGGGTTCTGCTAACTACCTGGGTTCAAACAGGATATTGCGGGGTTCATGGCCACATGGCCCGCCCCAACCCTTGCCCGATTTAGTCATAGAAGAGTCAGAGTTGTGACATCGTAAAGCTCCTTTTACCGAAGTCTAACATTTGACATATCACCCTACTCAGTATTTAATTGGATATTGACACTGGAAAAGAAATTGCTGACACAAACAAACAGGGCTGCCAGATGGCTATTTTTCCAGCCACATTTTCTTAAAATGGCTAACTTTCAATGCTGTGGCAGAAGTGGCTTATGTGGCTTAAAAGTGGCTTTTTTTCAAAGTTTTACAGTAAATCCTTTAAATTTACATTTATAGTCAGTAAAACTATAATTTCTTCATGACACATCATCCAAACCAAAATTTGGCTGCAGTTCTCTCTCTCTTGATCAAAGTTTCTTGCAAGTTGTACTTTCAAAAATCAGGTATTTCAACTGTTTACATCTAGAGGTATTTTCATCTGGTGGACATAATTTATAACTGTAGAAGTGTTCACAAACCAGTTTGCCAGTTTCAGCAACCCTGAAACACTTCATTTATCAGAGGAACAAGATTCTTTTGAAAATAATCTTTTGTTAAGTGCTTGCACTTACAGTTATACAGCTTGAATTAGAATTGATATATACTTACTATGTTTATTAATTTACAGTTGATAAATTATTAAAATTGTTTCATAAAGAGTGGGTAGTCCAGTCAAAAGGAAAAGGTTACTAATAACTAAAATCTCTCCAAAAAAGAATAAAACACCTATATTTATAGCTAAAAAAGTTGCTTAATATTGGCTTTTTTTTAGACCAGAAATGGCTTAATTGGCTTTTTTTTTAATGAAAAGTGGCTTTTTCCTAATCTGAAAATCTGGCAACCCTGCAAACAAATGAAACAAACAGTTGACCATAACCACTTGACGGAGAAGTATGCTAGTTTTTTGCTGTGACAAAATGCGTTTAGTGCTGTAATAGTGCATTTCACAGCACATACAGTGATAATCATAAAACTCTGGAATAGGAAGTTGACATTTAGACTCATGTTATGGCTTTAGATAGTCCAATGAACATATGGGATAGCAATTGTGCAGTGTAAGCAGACACATTTACTTATTAAGTGATTTAATAATTTACTAGTTATAAAGCTATCAGCTGTGTAACAACATCAAATGCTCTTCAATATTGATTTAATGTCGTCTTCTTATTCTACAGTTTTCTGGTTATTACTGTATGTAATGTACATGTTATACAAGTATGTATATTGTTGACATAATTTCAAGTGAACCTTCTCCCCCCCCCAAAAAAAAACTCAATTTTCAACATGAAAAAAAATGTGTGTTATTTAAGATACAGCTATGTAAAAATTACATTTTTGCAAAATCCCTTGAAAAAAAGATATAATTAAACATGTGTCACATCTAATTAGTTGTCAAAAACAAACAAAATTATTTATGACATTTTTTAAAAACCTTCTTATAAGCACTTCAACTTTAAAGTTAGCATTTTATTATATTGAGAGATGAAAGAGATCAGGCCGTGAATTGGAAATTTTTGTAGGGGCTGGGCACACAGTGTAAAAGCCCTTTTAAAAGTAAAGACTCAATAATTTCTCCTACAATTTTATCTCAAGGGGTAGAGGGGCACATGTCACGCCCCCCCCCCTTTAGCTACTCCCCTGAAGGGATTGATTATTCTATAAGAGCGTCACTGTAAACACCAAAAAAACTTGACAACAAAATACGTCTTAAAATTCAGGGCTAAGGGAAGGGTGCTGGATAGACCTAGGACAGCAGAAAAGTGGAAGGAGGAAAAGGCCAAGGGGTCCAGCAAGAAGGTTAAACATGACAAAAAGGAGGAGGAGCAGAAGTCTTTGTATAATGATTAAGGAATAGAAAGCTTTACCAGTTTTGTTTGTAGTTATTTTCAGCAGATACATGTTACAGTGGGCACCAGTAAAATGTTGGTTGAGGTACAGTTTCTATGCATGTATTGGATTATTTGAAAAAATATAATTTTTTCTAAACATTCCATGTTAT